CTCTTGCTCTGGAGTGTGTTACTGAATATGTTAAAAGCTGTATTGAAATACTTCTAATCATGTAGTTATTAAAAATTTTTTAAAAATGATAAAAAATAATTCTTCAAAGCATAAAAATTTGCTCCTTAATAATTAGTAGATGTGAAAAACATTACCATTGAAATCTACCTGACGACTTTATATCCATGCTCATATGCCAAGGAGCTCAGAAAGTAACTTACTGTGATTAGTAATAATCAGATATATAGAGATTAGAAACGCATGTGCAAACGTCTTAATGTCAGTTGCATTAGAAATGAATTTTTCTATATGAAAAAAAAAAGTACAGTTAACCAAGATTTAGAAGAAAGATGATGAATCCAGCTTTTGAATACTGAGTTTGAGATCTAGGTGGTGGTATGTGAATAGGCACATGCAGATGGCTGAAGTGCAGGGATGATCTTCCTGCCACTTTGGGCTAGCAAAGAGAAGTTGGGCTGTTGTGCTTATTATCCAGGAGAACTGAAGCAATAGAAAGGTTTGTAAAATGAAAGAAAGCCCAGGATGGTTCCATTGGGAATTCTAACATTTCAACAGAACACAATGATTCGTGTCAGCAATTTTAGTGGAATAGTAGAATGGAAAATCTAATATTTGGGGAAGTTTAGTTGGAATTCTCCAATCAAAGAGAATTGTGGAATTACAAGCACTGACTCATTTTCAGATCAATTGCCTGAGGGGAAAAGGTGCTAGTAGCTACAAGAGGATACTAACTTGAAGGCCAGTGGTAGTTAGGTGGAAGAAGAGAATAAATGAGATGCTTAGAGTGGAGAATGGGAGGCCATGGATATGGAAGAAATGTTGAGTGACCCTGAGGATGTGTAGCTGCTAGAAAGGTTCAGGGGTGGGCAGGTAATGGGTTAGAGTTTGGCAAATGACTTGATAGGAACCACTTCAGATAATGTTATATTGTTTCTTTTTTTTAAATTTTATTTATTTATAAATGAGAGCTGTCTTTGAAGACTGCCAAGGTCAAATCAGGAAAAATTAATTTGCCTATAGATTGGATTTTTGTTGTTTTTTGGGACAGGGTCTCTGTAGCCACAGCTGGCTTTGGTACTCACTATGCAGACCAGGCTGGCCTCAATCTCATAGAGATACACCTGCCTCTGCCTCTTAAGTGCTGGGATTAAATGTGTGAACTACCACATCCAGCATGAATTAAAAAAAAATGTATATGAGTGTATTACCTTTATGTATTTAAGCACACCAGTCTCATATAGTACTCATGAAGGTCAGAAGAGGGCGTCAGATCCCCCTGGAACTGGAGTTATGGACGATTTTTAGCTGCCATGTGGGTGCTTGGATCCGAACTAAGGTCTTCTGCAAGAGCAACCAGTGTTCTTAACAGCTGAGCCATATCTCTAGCCCCAATGGATTGGTTTTTATAAGAGGGTTTTGGAGTTGTTAGAGTATAATGAGGAATAAGGTCAGTTAATATATATGGCCTTTATAGGGTGGGTAAGCCTCGTATAATGAGAGAAGAGCAAGCTTTCTGTTTGTAACTGTCATTTGTACCCTCAGCTTAAGTCTTTGTAAGTGTATTAAGTCTTGTAATAGAAAGTGGTACAGTGTTTCCTTGCTGTCTACAATGTTTTTTAAAATATTTATCTTTATTTTTAATTGACAGATAATTTCTGTGGTACCTTGTAACCTTTCTACAAATGTATACCATGTGTAATTCTAAGATCAGGGTAATTGGCATATCTGTAACATCAGACATTTATTATTTCTTTGTGTTGGAAACATTCAAAATTCTCTAGTAGCTTCTTTGAAATATTCAAATAATTTTTGTCAACCATAATTATCCTCCTATGCTATGTAGCCCATTACAGGTTACTTCCTCTTATCCAGCTGTGCCCTGCATGTACAAACTGTTCTTTCTTATCACACACTTCTCAGGCTTGGGTAACCATTATTCTCTTCTCTGTCTTTGAAATAAACTTCCTAGCTTCCATGTATACATGAGAATGTGTGCTATTGTTTTTCAATGCCTGGCTTATTTCAGTGAACTTACTGTCATTCAGGTTTCATACATATTACTGCAAATGAAAGATTTCTTTAAGTTGTTTTTTCAAGTTTTTTATCTATTTTATGTCTATGTGTGTATTGCCTGCATGTAGGTAAGTGCACCCATGTTGTGCAGTGCCTGCGGAGGACAGAAGAGACTTGTCGGATCCCC